ACTTCATGAAGCAGGATGAGTGGTTTTTATTTTCATTTTTATGTTTATTATTTTCTAATTTTCATGTAATGAATGTTTGCTTCTGTAAAACAAACAAGCTTAAAATCAGTGACAACAAAAAGAGCTAGTCTTTATGAGATCACAGCAGACCCTAAAATCTTCCATTAACCTAAATGGCTGTGAAGAATTGAGCCCTAAAAAGCAAGGCTCACTGTAAATTAAAGTTTGGGAGGTCAGGACCACCATAAGAGAGACCGTTCACATCATCATTCCATTTCAAATGAACTCATTCACTCAGCAAACATTTATTAGTAAGTAGTTCATTTTAAATTCGAATAATGGGCAACTAATGGAACACATATTTAAAGCAGAAAATGGCCTGATTTTAATGTCCTCATTGCTTTTCCTTTTTTTTCCAACTCTACTTTTAGCACCAAAAATGGTTATTAATGATGTTAGGTCTTTGAGTGGCTGAAATATGGGCCATTTTACTAATTAAGAACACAGGTAGTGGCAAGGACCTGTATTAGCCCCTTTTCATTAAAATGGATAATTATTGTGTAAAACTGATCTCAATATCTACACTAAGAATGTGATCCTGGACTCAGAAACAATCCATTTAAGATAATGACTTACCAGCCTTGGGGCTCTGAAGTCAAGTGGGAGAGCAATATGGTTTTTATGAGAAGATAAGTTTCAGGAATAAAGGGAAGTTTTAAGGAAATTATAGCTCATTGTGAAAAAAAAGAAATCATTATATAAAATCACCTCAGCAGAATCCTGGTCTCTCAATTTCACATCCACTGCTCTTGCCATTGACAACTAAATCAACTCCTTTCTTAGTAATCTTGGTGTAAAATGGCAGGAGAGTGAGGATTTCCTCCATATTATGAGTTGGGATAAATACCCCACAGGGATTAGTCTAACAACATCCAAGAACAACAGCTAATATTTCTTGAGTACTTACTATATGAACTGTTCTAAAAAGTTCACATGTATTAATTCACTTAGCCCTCCCACTAATCCTCTGAGGAAGGTATTATTCACATCTGCATTGTATACACAGGAAAAATTGAGGCACAGAGATGCTAATAGTGTGCCTAGGGTCACCCGGTTTTGTAAGTGGTGGATCCATGCCTTTTCAATCCCATTTCAGAGTCTAGGCTCTTAACCCAATGCTGTGTTGACTCATAGTTTTTCATTCTGTGCTCTCTTCTCATTACTAAAGCTGTACTTCAGATGGACTTCCAAAAAGTTATGAATAATCATCAGAGCTTACTTTAATCATGCCAACTAGCTCTGGTCCGTGATCAAAAGTAAGTCCTCTTCTAAGCAGGGTGATTTTTTTCGAAATGAACTTCAACATTTTTTTTTCTTTACAGCAATTTCCTTTCTTTTACTGATCTTCACCTATGCCGAAAGAATCATTTCAAGGATTCTGCCTCTCAAGTTAGTTCATTGGTTGGCTCCTTATTCAAAAGGAGAGGGGAAAAAATAATCTAATGATAACAAACATGATGGTTAATGATGATGGTATTAGTCATGCTTATATACTTGGTCCATTCTTTACTCATAAGAACCATACAGTAGGTGCAATTATGGTGTGCATTTTACAAACGTGAAAACTGAGGCTGAGAAAGGATAAGTAATTTTCCTAAGACAACAGACTAGCAAGAAGTTATAGAACTCCAACTCAGATCTAATTTCAGAGTCTATAGCTCAATAATTTAATAATAGCTGCCACTCTTAATCTAGTGGAAAGGATAAGTGCTCTGAAAGCAATTCACAGCCAACACTGTGTTGTTTCTCCTGACAGACCGATGCTAATTACCTCCATCATCTACAATTAACTTGACCAAGATCCTAGAGCTACTGTTTTGTTTTGTTTTGTTTTCTGAAAAATCCCATGGATCTAACCATGTTTTGTTACTCTGCTATTCCTCTTCTAGAATACTCTATCACTCTGAGCATAACTAAATTAAAATTTATCTTGCAAGTAGATTAAGAAAAGCTAAAGATATGTAATATAAGCTCTAAATGAAACCCTAAAATTTTAAGACAAAGAGTTTTAGCTAATAAACCAAAGGAGAGAGAATAGAGCGATAACAAATGCTTAACCAAAAGAGGTCAAAAACAGAGAAAAGAAACAGATGAGACAAAAAAGACTAAAAATATCAAAAGGGCAAATTTAAATTCAGCCATATCAATAATCACATTAAATATAAATGGACAAACAGCAGGGCAGAGATTTTGCCAGTAAATTCAACAACTCAGATGAAATAAACAAATTCCTTAAAGACACAAATTCCCAGAGATTAATCAAGAGGAAATATAATCTGCATAACCTTGTAGCTATTAACTAAATTAATTTTATGGTTACAACTCTACTCCTAAATGGTTTCCCTGGGGTGGGGGAATTCTATCAAACATTTAAGGAAGAAATACTGCTAATTCTACATGAACTATTCCAGAAAATTGAAGATAAGGGAATATTTACCAATTCAATGTATAAATCCAACAGTACACTGATACCACAACCCAACAAGAAAATAAGAGACCAATACCAATCATGAACATATATGCAAAAATGCTCAACATTTTAACAAACTGAATACATAATTTATACATAATATAATACATCATACCTCATGATAATACATCATACCTAAATTAGCACACTCTAGGAAGGCAAAGATGGTTTAACATTTGAAAACTGAAAATCTATGAATGTATTCACCATATTAACAGGTGAAAAAGAAAAACCATACAAACATCTCAACAGCTGCAGAAAAGGCATCCAGCAAAATTTATATCTATTTCTGATAAAAATTCTCAAGAAGCTAGGAATAGAAGGAAACTTCCTTGAACTTATACAGAACATCTCTGAAAACACTATAGCTAATATAACTAATTTTGAAAAGTTGATTTTTTATCCCCTTAAGATAAAAAATGAGGCAAAAATGTCTGTTCTTACCAGTCATATTCAATGCTATACTGAAGGTTCTAGCTAATGCAATACGGCAAGAAAAAAGTAATAAATATTTTAAAAGAAGTAAAATTGTCTATATTCACAGATGATATAACCAGCTATGCAGAAAAACCAACAGAATCTACAAAAACATTACTAGTACAAATGAGTTGACAAAGGTTGCAGAACACAAGATAAACCAATTATACCACGTATATTTATTTATTAAAAACATGTATTAGGATAAAAAATATTTTAAAATAATAAACTGAGAAGTTTATGAAAATACAGATTTAAAATAAGCAAATAATATTAAATGTTAAAGTAAACACATTCATATGCATGGCAATGAAATACATTTAGTGTTCACACTTAAATGTTTTTTACAAGCTTCATTTTCTCTTACTTTCTTGAGGGAAAATCTTCTGGTCCTCAATTCTTACAGAGTAAATGGATTCTCAATTTTTAAAAGTGCCATATGTCAGAAACACAACTGGAGGTAATTAAGGTTTTGAGATACTATTCTTCAAAGAGAAATTCACCTGTTTTTCATGGAATTCCATTTCCCCAGTAAGAGGATTCAATATACTTGAAGTAACAGCTTGAATAAGAGAAAAAATCTGGGACTAAAGACTAATGTATGTGAACATTTAAAAGTACTGGGTGACCTAGGGCAATGTTTTTATTTCAAGTTAAAATTAGAATTGTAAAGATAAATTTCTATGCATCTTGTTATAAATGCAGGTGTAAAGCATAAAATAAACTCAATTATAAACCTCACTTAAATAACTGAATTAAAATTTTTAAGAAATACAGAAGACACACACACAATCTACAGAGATTCTCTTAAAAAACATTTTTTTATGTTTATTTATTTTTGAGACAAAGACAGAGTGTGAGTGGGGAGGAGGAGACAGAAAGGGAGACATAGAATCTGAAGCAGGCTCCAGGCTCTGAGCTGTCAGCACAGAACCCGAGGTGAGGCTTGAAACCACAAACTGCGAGATCATGACCTGAATCAAAATCAGATGCTCAACTGACTGAGCACCCCCAGAGATTCTCTATAGACTAGTGGTTTCCAAACTTTGCAGAATGTTTTAAACCCCTTGAGACCTTTAAAATCCTGAAGCCCAGGCCACACTCCAGAGAAATCAAAATGAAGTGAGTGGGGAAACAGGCAACAGTCTTTTTTATGGATCCCAGATGATTATAACATGCAATAAAGTTTGAGAACCACAGTTTTAAGGTAAAGTTTGATAGTACATCCATCGTTAAATTAGTAACTTAACGTGGAGCCCTGATAGGTTGTTTTAAGTCTCTAACTGCCTGGACTGACTGAATTACCATAGGAAACTTCTTGTAATAACCATCTGCAAAATGCCATCTTTGCATAGGGATAGAAAGAAGCTCAAGTGTTGGAGATACTAAAAATATATGATTTAAAGAAAAAAGGGAGAGGTGGTATTCAATTTCCAAACTCCTTAAAAAGGTTATTCATGAAACACCAACTCACGCCGACTACCCAAGAACAACCAGTTCTGACACTGAAATCATAGCCCAAAGAGCAGAAACACTCTCTGAGATTGATGCTTATTTCATAGAGCACACCCATTATACCTAGAACATTTGTGATGTTTCCATTCCAGTACAGCACAATCCACCCTCCATTTCTAACCCTACCTTAATCTCCACAGAGTATCCAGATATAATCTCAAATAAATTAAGGGTGTACTTCCAAATAAGCATGCTGGAAATAGTATATAGCCCACCCTGGTTCAGGGGACAATAAAGGTCTCTCAAAGGGATCAAGTTTCAACAGATGGAATTTGGTTAACAAAAGATTCACAACCTCTGCTGTTTTTCCCCATGCCTGTGTCCAAATTTGAGATGACTATTTTTTTTTTTTTTTTTTTTGGTTTTGATGAAGATAGGTATATATTCACAGAAGTGATGGGACATTTTAGGGCTAATGACAGTGGTTCCATTAATGAGCTGTGAGTACACCAAAACAGAATGTAATGACCTGACTCACCTTATGGCACATGTAGGATCCACCTTTCTTCACCCGGTCTTTCCCAGAAGGGGGGCCTTTCTGTGGATTAAGAGAACTCATTAGCCCAGAGAACACAGATGCTCCTCAGAGACTGGCCGAGAGTTCATTTTAGTCCAACCAGCTCTTCCACAGCTGCCTTAACTTTCTACATGCTTTTCCACCTGTGGGCAGAAAACCCCTGAACCCATGCACCTTCCCAAATGCCCACCTCTCCAAATCCTACCCATCCTTTAAGGTCCCGCTCAGGTTCCCACTTTGATAAAATCTTTATGACTATAGTAAGCAATCTCACCTCTAAACCCCGGTAATAGCATTTCTCACCTAGATGACTAACAAGCTGCTTGGCAGTATCTTTTATATCACCTTCTCAAGCTGATATGCAAATTTATCCTGCATAACAACTGACTTGTTCAACTAGACTGGCTAGTCTCTTTGAATTATGTTTTTATAATCCTACTGTGTAACACCTAGTAAACCCTTTGCTGACTGAGGAAATTTGCCTTTTATCTTTTAAAAAAAAATTAGGTCAGGTTTATTGAGGTATAATTTACGTACAGTAAACTTTAACCTTGTTAAGCCTTTTTAAATGCACATGCCTGATGAATTTTGACAAATGTATAGGCATGTAACCACCACCACAATCAAGATATAGAACACAGTTTATCTTTTCCAAAAAGATTTATATAGTGCTTACTATGAACCAAGCATGGATGCAAATATTAACCCATGTAATCTCCGTAACAACTTTTTTTTAAGATTTTAGTTTTAAGTAATCTCTGTACTCAACATGGGGCTCAAACTCACAACCCCAAGATCAAGAGTCACATGCTCCACCAACTGAGCCAGCCAGGTACCCCTCTCTATAACAACAACTTTTTTTAATTTTTAATGTTTGTTTATTTTTGAGAGAGACAAAATGTGAGTGAGGGAGGGGCAGAAAGAGAGGGAGACACAGAATCCGAAGCAGGCTCCAGGCTCTGAAGTGTCAGCACAGAGCCCGGACACAGGGCTTGAACTCATGAACCGTGAGATCATGACCTGAGCCAAAGCCAGACACTTAACTGACTGAGTCACCCAGGCGCCCCTCCATAACAACTTCTGATGTAAGTTAAGCAAGTGGCAGAACAAGGATTCACACCCAGGCAGCTGGTTTGAGTCCATTACACTCTCTGTAATGGGACCAGAAATGGAGGAAATTGGACAATCCCTAAGAGGAGGCAAGAACACACAGTGACTACCACTGTAATGAAAATTGAAGCCAGAAACAGCCAGCCAAGAGGTAAGACTATTTTTTCTAAGGAGAGCTTTGGATAGAAGTGCACTGGAAATGAACATCCTAAAACTTCAGTTGCCAGGATAAAAGGGCCTCAACATCAGATTAGCCATGCAAAGAACATCTGAGAAGTACCAATAACCTCCTACAAACCAGAACCACATACGGGAAGTTTGGGGGCTACAAGATTCTTTTTGCTTTTCCCCTATTATGCAAAAAAAAATCAACTAATCACACAGCTGCCTACTTTTTGTCTACTGAACACAAGAGACGGTTGAATAATGCTGCCTATCTTAGTTTTCCTTTTTCTTGACAACTACTTGTCTAGTGTCAAGGGCTCAGACAAAAGTGGCAGAAGTTAAAAGAATCATGTTTTCTCCAAGCATGGTTAAACACTGACTTGCAAATTTTTTTTTGAAGTTAAAGATTTTTTTTTATTTTTTCAATATATGAAATTTATTGTCAAATTGGTTTCCATACAACACCCAGTGCTCATCCCAAAAGGCGCCCTCCTCAATATCCATCACCCACCCTCCCCTCCCTCCCACCCCCCATCAACCCTCAGTTTGTTCTCAGTTTT